CTGTTGATTCTGATTTTTTCTTTTATCTATTTGCTTTTGCATAGTTGTGGTGTTTTTATTTTTTGTGTTTTTTCTCTATCCAGACAAAATACTTAACTATCATTCTTTTTAATTCCTTATCAGTCTGTTCTAATAGCTTTCCTTCCTCTTGAAGATTTTCTAATCCTTTATTTTTGGTCCTTTTTTGGTGCCATCTTACCCTGATTTTTTGAGTGGTTTGAAGTTATCTGTTGTCTCTGAGACATTGTGATATTCTTGTCTTTGTGTAGTTCTGATATATCTCATTAAGCCATACAAATGTGTTGTGCTCCTTGCTAATGTGGTGATTCTTAGTGTTTCACCGCCTGTCTTCTGTTGGGTCTCATAGAGAAGAAAGATGCATATGCGATGCGGTTCTCTGTTCAGTGTTTGAGTAGTGCCATTGAAAGCAAACTGGGCCCATATCTGTTGCAGGTTTTTTTATCCTTCAAGAGAAACAGCAGTCTTTACTTTTCCTCAGTGAGTGAAGCTGCAGGAGGTGTCTGTGTGACTGGAGACTGTTGCTGACTTTCTCATCTTCAGATAACTGCTTGTCCCAAATTTTCAAGCAGGCCAGACCACCATACAAAATATCTGGGCCACAGTGTTTACAATTCTGTGTTCCATCAGTCTCCTCATTTGATATTTTAATTCATTTACTTCCTTCACTTGGTGTTTGAAGCACCTCTTTATCTTGTCCTTTGTGACTTAAGGTTTCATATTTCTCTTCCATATCTGTTATCTTTGTTTTCTGATCTCTTGGTTGTTGAGAGTTATGGGCTCCTTTTGCCTTTTCTACCAGTTTTCCCAGAAGTCTCCACATTTTCATTTTGCCCTAAAACCCATTTCCATCAGGTTGATTCCAATGCACAGCAATCCTATAGGACAGAACACAGCTGGCCCACTGGGTTCCCAGGCTGTAAGTCTTTATGGAAACAGAGAGCCACATCTTTCCCCAGACTCATTAATTAGTTTGAACTGCTAGCTATTCTATCAGCAAGTACTTCGTAGTTATTAGTGTCAAAGCTGAGATGTTTCAGCATTCTCTTAATCCTTTGAGAAGGTAAAAAGTTCATGTTGTTGTTGTTGTTGTTATGTGCCGTCAAGTCGCTTGTGACTCATAGCGACCCTGTGTACAACAGCCCTAAAC